GTCGTATACGTATGTGTGTTCCACGTGTACACACATGTGTGTCTGAATTGGACATGTGTGTTTGAACTGCCCATGTGACTGCGTGCTTGCGCGGCCACACTTGCGTTCACGCGCGCGCGCTCGCCCGCCATCGCGCGCGCTTGCCCAACCTCAGTTCTGGCGCGGTGCTGAAGCGCGAAGCATGCCAGCAACACACGTGCAGCAACGCAACGCGCGCCAGGTTCACGACTGCATCATTTTGATTCATCCGTGTTGAAGCGCAGAAAGCCACAAGCTGTTGGCATGTTTGTGCCCGCCCGTCAGCCCTCAACTGTTTGGGGTCTCTGCTGGTGTAATTTAAAGAAAAAGATGACGGCCCAGCGCTCTATGTTTCTGAGCTTGGCTTAGGCTCAGACCTGGGGATTTGATTCGTTTGAGAAGCCGGCCCCAAAAATCAATTTCTTTACAGAACCCTGGCCGACATTTTTTTACAGCTAAACCTAAGCCCGATTTAATCTTGAAGCAGGCCACACATTACGTCCCAGATTGCTTTGCTAGTCTGCGGGCTCAAGCGCAGAAGTTTCAAATAGCCATCACCACTGATGGCTGACAGACGATGACACCACCACAAGCCGCCCCATCCCAAATGGCCTCAAGCCATCACAAGCCAGAAGTCACAAGGGCTCGGCCATTGAGCGAATCGCTCATGCCTGTTGGGCTTGCACCCCCTGCTGGAGCTTAGAGCATTGCCCCGCGCCAAGGAGAGCAGTGGCGTTTGTTGTGGCTGGGGGGGCCGGGGGGTTCAATGCAAGGAGAACAGGGGAGCCTTGCGACTTAGGTCGTGCAAGCTGGGAAGCTGGCAGCCTAATGCATGAGGAAGAAGAAATGCCAATCCCCGGGCTTCTTCACCATGGCCATGCTGCCGGGCAGCGTTGGACGCTTGGCGGAAGGGGCCAAGAGAAATCAATGTGGAAAGGGCAAGGAAAGCAGAGCCAACGCGAGGCGAGGTGAGAGGCGAAGCTAGAGATGGCATGCTGGGACAGGGGCGAGATGTGACAGGACCTGATCAACATGGCGAGCTGACAAAAGGAAGGGGACACAGACGAGGATGTGCGAAGATTCGCCAAGCCAAGGCCTGCTGGCTCTCTACACTTACGGTGTACCTAACCTTTTGTCAGAGTCGCTTGGCACGGAGCTTTTGTGACTGTGCAGCTTTATCATTCCGCTATCGCGCAGCCTTAGGACCCCACGCCAACCTGCAGCTTGGCATGGGGGGCCTTACGGGGCATGGGAATGAGGCAGTTTCTGAAGAGCCTTCGCTTTGATGGTTGGGCAATGCAAACAAGGAGGGTGTGGAGAGTGCCTTGGCGGAAGAGGCGCGGGTTCTGAAGCATGAATGCCTGTGGGATGTGAGCCGCAGGTAGCGCAGAGCCCCGGCGAGGAGACGGACGTTGCTTGGAAGCATATCCACACCCTACACATCGGTTTATGGGTGTTGATGAAAACAACATTTGAAGGAAAAAAACGGAATGCCTAGACACGCGCAGGTTTCGAGCCGAAATGAGCCTCAAACCAAGAATGAAAAGCGCCTATCCTGACTTTTGAATCCTATATAATATTTCAAAAAGATAGGAATCCAGCAGCAATCACGACCTGAACAGTTTATTATAATGCAAGTTGATTAAATGAGAAAATTATTATTATAATTGCCAGCCTTCCTTCCCGTGCACCTCGGCGGATCATGGGCAGAGTTTTGTGGCCCGTTGGGATAGAATTTGCGGGAAGAGTCCAACTTTGCAAAGGCCTTGAGGCACATCTGCGGAGTATGATTGTCCGTAGAAGAGTGCTTGGAGTACGGAACCCTTGGGTTCCGCAACTGAGATATTTTTCGGAAAACCTCGGTCTGTAGTCGACTGCGCAGGCCCTCCGACACTATCGGAGACCTTTCATAGCTTGTCGCCTCCCCACAGCCTTCCATAGGCCCAAATAGGCGATAGCGAAGACCCAAGCAGGAAGGCTGCACATGAGCAGCACCAAAACCTCTTATGAAACGGGTTAATTGCGAAAGCTAAAGCGCAGGGCGCCAACGCCCGTGAGAGCTTGCGGCGAAAGCGGTTGCCCGCGCAGGCGTCGCGAATGTGCATGTTTGCAGTTGTTGTGCAGGTTTCGGCTCCCACTTCGGGCTCGTGAGCGCGCGCGGTGCCGGCGCCGAGCGCGCGAGCGCACGCTCATTATCGTCATCATCATCATCATCATTCATCCTCCTTTGTCATCATCAACCATCATATTGGACATTCATTATCAGCTCGGGAACGCGGCCAACAGAGCTGCTTGCTAACACCAAGAGCACTTTTGCCTTCTGTTTGACAAGGCCTGCTAGCCATGTGCGCAAAAAAGGACTTTCCTAAATGTTGAGCGATGAAGTGCAACGTAAGAACATATTTTGACGACACATGCTAAATGCTAAATGTTTTTTGCAACGGCCGAGTTCCGCGAAAGGTTCGCGCACAGCTCCAATTGCACCGCGAAAGCATTCCCGAAAGCGATCCTTAGAAAAGATGCCTGCGAAAGTTTAACGTGTGACCGCGGAAGCATCGCGAAAGGTTCCGCGAAAGTGGTTGGTTGTTAGTGCAGGGTATGTGGAAGCACCTGCAGAGGCATCCCAGTGAAATCTGGGTTTGGGTAGCTTTAAAGGGAAACCAAGGACCCCTAAAGCATTGACCCACCCAAATAAGTTTATATCATATAAGGCCCAGGGATTTGTGAATTGTGATTGTGCCAATCCAATTCCCGGCTGAAGCCAAGCAAGGTTCCTTCATCTATTTCAAGAAATGCCGTGGGGTCAGAGGCAGAGAAGGAGCCGTAACTTGGACAGCAGGCCATGACATGCAAGCCGCCGCATGAATCCTTGGAGGGGTTGGGAGCCAGGGTGTTTTCTGGCAAGGCCTCAGTTGTGCTCATCCAACTGTGCAGCAATCGGCTCTAGGGTTCGTGTAGTGTGATGTCGGTGGACAGCACCCATGCAGCCAGTCGTGGCGGTCCCGAGCTTGTCGGTCGGGAGCTCAAACCTCACTTCGTATTTGGCGTGTGCTTTTGGGGCTGTCAACGGTAAAGCCGGGGTTTCGACACCCCTGCCATTCGGCCTCTCAGTCTAGCCCTTAGGCCGATGGAGATCAGGCGCCATCTCCGGCGCTGACGTGTCGTAAGTCTGACCTGCGCTCCTTCGAAGAGGATGGCATGATGTCTTCTGGCTGAACTAGGAACACTTGCGACATGGAGTGTCTCACCTTTTAGCTATGCCACTATTTCTGCTTTCAAAGGCACACGCCCTCAAAGATGGTTGGACACTAACCCCATGTCAATGATGTTCACCACAGGGCCCCCCAAGAATATATTTGCATTTTCGTGTCTCAGTGCGGCTCAGGCCTTCTTTCAAGAGGCGATCCCCCAGTATGGGAAGATTCATCGTCTCCGACGAAGAAGTGAAATTTCAGGCGAGGCTTGGGTTTGTCCCTTCCCAACTTTGCACGCTGCAATTATGACACTTGTTGTTCTTTGTTGCTGTAATCACCGGGCTGCTTCCCCGCAGGCTGACATCGCCCAAGTAGCATGGCACACAGTCCTTGTAAATCACATGCGTCTGTTCAATGTATTTCGTTCACGTGCGCTGCGTACCACTGCTCTTTGATTCTTTGCAAGCCTTCACGGAGGATTCGCAAGGCTTTGATGCGGTTTGCGCGAGCCTGCTTGGCTGAACAGCTGTGCTAAGCTCGAGGGTGCAATGTGCCAAGTGTGCCTGGAGTCGGTGTGCATACACAGCTGCATTGTGCGAGTGTCTTCTGTGCACGTGCCCCGAGCGAGGTTGCGCTGCACAGATGTGCTCTGCCCAACTGTTCTCTGATCTGTTATCTGCGTCAAGTATTTTCTTGCAGCAGTGAGCGGGTCACGCGTGTTTTTCCCACGTGTCTCATCGTGTTTCTTACAATCGTCTAAGTATTGTGTGAAGGTGACTCAATAGACCAGCTTGCGATGTGCGTCTTGCTTTTTGAGAACTATATCTGGCGTGTGCGTGCGGCGCGCGAGCGTGCGCGTGTCTCTCTCTCTCTCTCTTTGTGTGTGTGTGTGTGTGTCTGTGTGTTTGTGTGTCTGTGTGTCTGTGTGTCTGTGTGTCTGTGTGTGTGTCTGTGTGTGTGTGTGTGTGTCTGTGTGTGTGTGTGTGTGTGTGTCTGTGTCTGTGTCTGTGTCTGTGTCTGTGTCTGTGTCTGTGTCTGTGTCGGTTTCTGTGCGTGTGTGTGTGTGTGTGTGTGTGTGCGTGCGTGCGTGCGTGCGTGCGTGCGTGTGTGCGTGGTGTGTGTGTGTGTGTGCGTGTGCGTGGCTACTGGATGCACATTGCATTTCGCATGTGAGACTTATCCCACTTGGTGACAGATCCATGTCTTCGTCATGTCTGCTGACGCATGTCTGACGCACCTTGGCATGCCAGGAAGAGGACAAGTCGCAGTGTGGTTCACTGGTGACGCGGATCAAATTCCTGGTGGAAGGCCTGGGTCGCAATGGAAGGCCAACTGTGCAGCCACCTTTGCATGAGGCAACTACACGGCGAACTTCCTTGCCGTGGTAGTGCTATTTGATGCTTACTGCACGGCCAATGACATCGACAGCCGTGCCGCTGGGGTGCCTACATCCCAGTTCATCCTGACACTTGGAACGCGCATTCAGTCCGATCGTTTGAGTGGCGGCCTTGCGCTAGGGTTGCCAGACAATTGAGGCAGGCATTCACTCTCAAGCTGAGGGGTAAGGGCCGAAGGAGTGGCGAACGAGGGAAACAAGATCCCTCCTTTCTCACCGGGTTAAAGGCTTCCGTGCAGGCAGACAGTTGATGGCTGTTCTGTGAAAGTGAGGGAGGTTTGGGTAGTTGGCATAGGCCACCAATAACACCAGGCTGCTGGAGGGGGTTCCTTGAACACACGAACGCACACCTCGTTGAGGCTTCTTCTTCCGTCTTTCTCTGAAGCCTTCGCAGATCCGCAGCCAAGAGCTGGCCCGAGATGGATGGATCTGATGGATGTTGGAGCTTCAGGTGGCGGGCCTCGACGGCCATAGCTTGACTTTCACCCTGCCAGAGGCGAGCCTAGCCAGAGAGCTGTTGAGGCTGGTGCGCTCCAGGCTGCCGCCCAGACCAGGTGAGCTGACTCAATCCGAAAAGTCCAAACTTGCTGGGTCCCGAATACAGGGGCCAGACATGCTGAGGGGTTCTCAATATTTTTTGGGGCCAACATTTAAGGACGGGACACGGGGAACAAGCACTAAATTCCCTCCAACACCCAGGCTGGAGCCCCATGTTTTTTTTCCTTTTCCGAGGTTCAAGGTAACAGTAACTTCCGACCGTGGCTCAGGTGCGACCCCGGCGCTTTTCCACCAGAATCGGCGGCTCTCACTATCTAAGACGCTGGAGGAGCAGGGTGTCACTTCAAGCACCCTGCAGTATGTCTACGTTCAGGTGGATGTGTGGTGGGCCTAGCTTCATGAGTTCCAGGGGGCCCTGAGGTGGTCCCCTCGGCCTGAAAAGCCTTGCGACAAGCCCTTGGGCAAATCGTGATGGTTGTCCGGAAGGAATATTCCCAAACATGCACATTCCCACTGACCAGCTCCCAAACTGAGCTGAACCAGCATAGGTTGGCAAGCGCACTCCGTCCGAAAAGCATATTTTGTGAGGCATGAGGGCTAGCCATTCTTCTGATTTCGAAGTGAGAGATGCCAAGGTTGCAAGCGTGGAGGATATTGAGTGGCACTGCCTTGGAGGGAAGTGAAGCAGCCTTGGAAGGTCTCACACAGATAACCTGTGGGAATCGAAAGGTCCTAGAGAGCGTGACTCTGCCAAGCAGTCTGCGCAGTCTGACCTTTGGAGAGATTTTTGATTACGGCCTGGAGCACGTGCAGTTTCCAAACTGTTTGCAGAGCTTGGCCTTCGGCATGCACTTCAACCAGAGCTTGAAACAAGCGAATTTGCCCAACAGCCTTCAGAGCCTGTCCTTGGGCTTTCAGTTTAACTTGAGCCTGGAAGGCGTGACTTTTCCGAGTGGACTGCAGAGCCTGACCTTCAGCTACTGGTTCAACCAAAGCTTGGAAGGGGTGAAGCTCCCCGGAAACCTGCGGAGCCTGACCTTCAAGCACGCCTTCAACCAAAGTCTGGAGAACGTGGAGCTGCCGCAGAATCTTCGGAGCTTAACCTTTGGGCACTGCTTTAACCAGAGCCTTCAGAAGGTCCGGCTCCCCCCCAACCTTTCCAGCCTTACCTTTGGCGCGGGGTTTGACCAGGGCTTGGAGTTCCCGCTCCCCAGCCAGCTGGAGAGTCTTGCGCTGGGAGGTGCCTTGAGAGGGAGCCTGGAGCGGCTGAGTGTGCTCAGCGCCTTAGGCGCCCTGCACGGCTTGACCTTCAGCTACTGCTTCAACCAGAACTTGGGCTCCGTGAATTTCCCGGCCAACCTTCGCAGCCTGACCTTTGGCGACGATTTTAATGAAAGCCTGGAGAGCCTGAACTTTCCGAGCAACCTGCAGAGCCTGACCTTGGGGTCTGAGTTCAACCAGAGCCTGGAGCGGGTGAACTGGCCAAAGTGCTTGCAGAGCTTGAAGGTTGGAAGCTTGAGAAATCAAAGGTTTGATCGAGCGAACTTGCCTGCACAGCTGAAGAGCCTGTCCTTTGCAGACGGCTTTAACCAAAGCGTAGATCACGTGAACTGGCCAAGGCTGCAGAAACTGACCTTCGGCCGCAGTTTCAACCAAAGCTTGGAGCATGTGAAGCTCCCAACCAGCCTCCAGCTGTTAAGCTTCGGGCACGAGTTCAACAAGAGCTTCCATGGCATCAAGCTCCCTAACCTGCAAAGCTTGACCTTCGGGGCCCACTTCAACCAACTGTTGGAGGGGGTCTTCTTGCCGAGCCTTCAGAGCTTGACATTTGGCGCATGCTTCAACCAGAGCCTGGAGCGAGTGGAGCTGCCCAGCAGCCTTCAAAGCCTCATTTTCGGCTTGCACTTCGACCAGAGCCTGGAGCGCATCAACTTGCCAGACACTCGCAAGCTTGGTTCTTTCGGTTTCAACCTTTTGATTTTGTAGCTAGCCAGTTAGCGTTTTGATCACTTCAGTGCAGAGGGTCCTGAGTTCGAGCCCAGGATGGCTTGCAGGACCTGGTGCTGGGGAGCATGTTCAGGAGCCTGGCTTCGGTGAGGTTGCCTGCAGGCCTGCAGAGCTTGAGCGCGGAGGGCAACCAAAGCTTGGAGGGGGTGAATTTGCCCAGCACCTTGCAGAACTTGAAGCTCGGCGGGTTCCGGCACAGCTTCGAGGGGCTGAAGCTGCCTGGCCTTCGCAGCTTCCAATGCAGAGGCGTCCTCGCCTGCTGCTAGCGGTAAGCCACCGCAAACCCGAAGAATGAAAACCGATCACTCGAATGTAGGATCGATCCAGATCGATCCAGAAGGAAGCCTTCAAATAGTCAAAAAGGCGCGTGCCCATTCCGAGAGCCCAGAATCGAGGTGCTTGTGGCTGTGCCCTTCCCCCGAGGACATGCTCGGACATTTGCCTGTTCCTCTACACGGCTGAGCTTCCTCTGCTTTTCATTGCACGGGGGCCGAAATTGCTCAGGGACAGGATGGTGATCACGGACATGGCTTCTTGGATCAAAGGAAAGCTGAACCTCCACACCACCAATTGAGGAAAGACTTGTTCTTGATCGCATTTTGATGCGTCTGCATGCATCACTCTTCTGCTTCTTCTTGCCTCGAGCTTTGTTCTTGCCTGGCTTGGGGGTTTGACCGGCAGCAGCTGGCTGAAAGCCCCAAACCTGTCCACTATGCAAGGACGAGGGAGTAAATGTGCACAGGATTGCTATGCGATATTGGTCGGGAAATTGTGGACAAGCCCAAACATGGTTATGCACTAGAACACGGCATCTGACTGGTGGCGGATACATGCTACCCCCTTGGCTGAAGAGTCCGCTGGCCACTAAGTGCCTATCGCAACCCTGCGCGGTTCGTAAAGTTTGACCTCGGAATTTTGGTGTGTCTCGACAGATCCGGCATTGTTGCCAGATTCACCCTGCTTTGGATGGCAACAGGTCCATAAAGCATCCATTGTGCCAAGACAGGTTGCAGTTTGTGTTTGATTCGCCGAAGGTTATCATCATGTGCGGCTATGTGGAGTTTTTCTTCAACCTTCTGAACATGCAAGACAACATCTTGGCCAAGGTTGGCATCCTCCGCGTGCTGCGGCTTGCAAGTACCTGGGCTTTTGATGGAGCCACTTTCTGGGCAGCCTTCTTGAAGGCCTAATACTTCTGACCATCGGCCATGAGGGAAAACAGATTGCGAGCTGTTCTCTTCCTAGAGCTTTTGAGCTGCCTTCTGCAGTAGCTTCGGCCTGAGGAATAGTTCGGCTCATGCAACTGCTTCGCAAAAGCCGTTCACTGAAGGACTGGGAAGCGCGTGAAGCCCGCTCTTTTGGAAAGCCGAAGTGTTAAACGTGTCGCCTGCCACCTGGCTATGGGTTGTGAAAAATCCTTTGTAGTCCCGCTACGGGTGCATGACGGATTAGGAGTGGTGAATTCCCATTTTGAACCCAGATAAATCTGGCACCAGTGAGCTGTTCGATCAGTCTAGACTGTGGGACCTTTGAATCCGGATGAATGCCAGCCAGATTCTGTCAAGTAACGCATTTGAACCAGGGTCTTGACGTCCCCCCCCCCCACAAACAAAAAAGGAAGAAGAAGAAGAAGAAGAAGAAGAAGAAGAAGAAGAAGAAGAAGAAGAATAAGAAGAAGAAGAAAAAGAAGAAGAAGAAGAAGAATAAACAGCAAAAACAAAAACAAAAACAACATTCAAGCAAACAAATAAGCGAGGGTCCACCAAATTCATAATTGACTAAGACATCACATCCTGGTCAAAACTGGTCTGCGAGAATTTGCGGCCAGGAGCTGCAAAAGCTGGTCACGATGCTGGCCACCTGCTTGAAGGCGAGCTGGCAAAAGGGCCGGGGTAATCAAGGAGTCCCGAGGTCTCAAGTATCCAAACCAGAAGTATCTCAGACTGCAAGGGCGAATCAAACGCAAAGGCTGAATCCCTGGAGGCACTGCTGTGGTCCTTCCTGTGGCTCGGCAATCCTGAGCTTCGCCGTGCCGACCGTTGCAAGCTCTGTCCAGCGCATCGGGTTTGGGAGTTTGGGGGGAGTCGTCGCACCTTTAGATTGGCTTCTTTTGGACTACCGCTGAGTGGCGTCATTCAAACATGGGAGTTCAGAGTTTGGATTCTCCTGGCGTGGCATTGCAGTTGTTTGTTGGTTGCTTGACTTGAATTGTCGGTCTTTGCTTTTCGACCGCTTTGTGTTGTTTTGTGTGGCACTCCTAACTTTCACCAACCCAGAAACCCACAACACACCCTACACCGACTCCCCAAACCCATCCGAAGGCAAATCCCAAATCCAACCTATACCTACAAAAACCAACCGTGAACCCGCCCTAAGGCATACAACAAACCTTCAACTAGCCCAAGCCGCCCAGTCAAACCTTCAACTAGCCCAAGCCGCCCAGTCTGGTTTGGCCCAAAAGCAAATCACCACAAAATACATGATCAGTCGAAATGGTTTTCATTCTGCACCCTGCCCACACAGCAAGCCAAAGCAAGCTGGAGTCTTTCAGGAGACAAGCCCAACAAATTTTCCGATTTCCTGCAGCCAAAGCATTCCTCCTCGCCCAGCTCCAAGGTTTTGCTTCGTTATCATGACAGTATGGGCCATGCTCCTGGTAGAGATCGTGCACCCGTTAGTGATGGAGCTTAACGATGCGACCGACGTGTTCCAGGAGACGCATGAGACGCATTGTTACCAGCTTTCAGTCGGCCGCACAGTGAGTTTCTGGCAGGACTGCCCGCAGTGCTTGCGGGCAACCTCCTCCGTGATGCACGCCAATTTGTTGCTCTTCAAGACGGTCATTGCTGGGGATAGCTGGGGTCGCATTGCAGTTCCTGTGTCGGCC